GGCATTGTCGTGTTTCTTTGCACCACGCCGCCCTGACCACGCCGCCTACATGACAGTACACATGGAGAGGTAACACATCTTCACGGGTGAGGAGATACAGGGCGAAAAGCATGCGCAATGATAGATCAGATCGGTGGTGGGGTGGATGGGGAAAGCTGGGCACAGACTCGGTAGTACGGTATCGATCCTGTACTGGTATGAAGGTATGTACATGACTGACAGTCTGCACCGGCAAGCATCAGCTGCGAGAACAAACACTATTCCTTGTGTCGTAGTGGGTGTCCAGCCACTGCCAGCCAGACCTCTCCCTGTCTCCCTGTATGGCAAGCTCCGAGAGGTTTTAATGAGCTACATAATGTCATTGTAATACTATGTTCTCTTATGGAGAGCAACCACTGTACCAGGGCACTGTCCACCATGCTGTGCAGTCTACAGAAGAGAGTGTCACTTGGTCGTGGCTGCTGCTGCTAATGCGGATGACGTGCAGTAATAATGGTGGCAAAGGTTAGAGTGTGTATGATATCAGTATTGAGCATGATCACTCTTCGCATCCAACTAAAGAATTTCTCTGCGGTGCCAGTGCCAAGACATGGTGTTGACACCTTCTCTTGAAACCGTCGTGCTATGCACACCATATAACTCGCTGTTCAGCGCAGATGTTGAAACCCTAGCAATCAGTTGGTCTACAAAATGCCAGAATCATTGCCCGCCCGTCGCTACTGGTGTCATCAACCATGGTCCATCTATAGTTGCATTCAGGCTTCTGTGATGTTATGTTCAATGTTCCATCACTGAAGGACTGCTTTGCACGACACCCCTGTCCACACAGTGATCAGCAGGGTGCCAATATCGTGCATAGACCATAATAGCTAACTCGGAAGTAGCCTTGGTTGAGGGTAAATGAGAACGCCACACGGACAGGGAAAGTACTAGCGCTTACTACCCGTAGTGCTGATTTCCTACGGTTGCGTGCAAGTTGAAGAGTTCTGGCGCACCTAGTACCTGAACGTCCTGATGGAAATAATCACGCAGGACCCCACGTACCCCAGGTTGCGTCGCTACATCTTCAGTCAACCAGCCATAACGACGCAAACTGACTTCTGCATATGGCTCGCACCGCTGCTCAGAGCATGGCGCATATGGCAGCTGACGACGAGCTAAGATGTTCTTGCTAAACTGCTGCCGAGGTGCTCAGGAGTAATAAGGAGTAAACAGTGTGAGGTTCTCAGTTCAGGTTGGGAAGGCGTGATAAAGTTACGAAGATGGCACGACTCATTACTTTCACGTTATTAAGGTACTAACACTGATACACACTGATACACACCGTAGATCTACGTGTGACCTGAATAGCTCCACAGTTATGGCGCGGCTACATGGCGTTGACAGTAACACTTCGTTCGTGATGGTGATAAGACTGGCGCAGATCTGTGTAAGGGTCTTTCTACGAATCATTGACTGTCCTAATAGCAGTATACTTTCGAAGTTCTACAAGTGCGTTCTCTCTCTGCACACTGCAATCATTCTCGTGACGCTTCCCAATATCTGCCCGGCACCAGCATTATGCTAGAGTGGCAAATCTGTGATTGTTCAACACGTAGAGTGGCAAAACTGTGATTGTGTAATCATCTGTGTAGTGGGAAAAAAGGTGTAGATGTCATAATGAGCTACAACTTGTACAAGGTGTGTATCTCGCACATGTTCAGTACATCGTGTGCATACTGGTGTAACATACTGTAGTGTCTGTCTAGCCTGTTTTGAATATAAAAGCCTGGTTTTCAAGATACACTGTCGGCACGTAAGCCTGGTTTTAGTGTTCACATACGTAGACATACCTGGTTCGAATACGAGCCTGATGTGAATAGAAGCCTAGCCTAGCCCTTACATCAGCCTCTACAGGAATAAGCCCGGCTTTAATACGCGACTTTACGGTAATTGCACTTGTGTGGTTGTACCTAATCAAGTTCCCGCACAGCTGAGCACTTTGTGTGTACATGATAGTACATACTTAGCATGGCTTCAACTACAGAAGAACCTTGACTTCGTGGCTTCAACTACATGACATTGTATGATATCGCTACACTGTTGCGAAGACATGGTACAAGCGTGTTAGCTACTGTGCCGTGTCGCGTGTACAGTGCAGTGTACATGAATATACGTATACCGCCAGTCAGGGTCACACAACTAACTAAGTCTTACTTCACAAGTAACACATAAATGTACCACCTGTAGTGTAGTACAAAGTCATGTGCCTTCATTCGTCCTGTGCATTCCTGAAGCTGAGCATTCCCGAATTGCCAATGCTCTCTGCGTATGTCCTAGTGCGCGGCGAGTCAAGTAGCCGTATACGTGTGGGCCGCTCTCAGGACACGCCATTGGACAATGGTGAGGAGCAGATCAACACAGCTAGTGTTCCTGGCATGGCAGAGGTGCCATGCTGTGTCTTATACAATATTGTGATGCGGTCTATACAAGACGGTAATGGCAGGGTATGTGACACTCA